AGACAGGAGGTGGACACAATAATCAAAACATCTAACAAAAATAACTTGTATTTCAAAGTGCCTGTTGCCAATCACAAATTAAAAGGATTTTACACTTTTCATATTAATGTCAATACTAATTTCCAACATGTTTCTGCTTTATACGGCGTCTTAAAGTCATCACATTAATATGTGAGTTTCTAAAGCAACAAATAGTCAAATTGTTGGCACCCGAATTGCAGGTGTGTCACAGAAGTGACAAAATAATTTGGTGTGTCAAGGGAGACAGTGCCAAAAACCTTGGTGGAATAAGATAAGATCACTTTGATGGCCATATACAATTTCTTGCCTTAGGAATTAGTCTTTTCGCATACCCCAGCTTGCTCTCCATGAGACACACAGACACGGAGAAGCTTGGGGTCAGAGCGCAGGGTCAGCCATTTATACAGCAGTTGGGGTTAAGGGCCTCACTCAGGGGCCCAACAGAGTAGGATTCCTCTGCCGGCTCCGGGATTTGAACTGGCAACCTTCCAGCCACAGGCGCAGATCCTTAGCCACAGAGCCACTGCACCGCCCCTCATACGCCAAACAAGGGAATATGGCATCTGGAAAGAAGTACAGCGGTCACAATGTTAAGCTCACAGACAGGAATAGACAGACTCTTAACAGGATAAATATGAAAAAGGCCACAAAACAATGACCTCACAAATTATCACAGAATTGAATCTATACCTTGCTTGGTGTTTAATTTTTTTTGTCAACCCTCTGTACTGTATATTGACAGTAATTCTACCTGTAATTCAAGTCTGTGGGACTGTTGTAGCCAAGGGATACTTGTACATAGACTTTGAGTGCTAGTAAGTTCATATTAATAATTGGCTTTATCTAAGCAAGCCATCATTCTAAATTCTATAGGTATCTAAATCTTTCTGGGTATTATTTAATATGTCATACTTGAGTTTGTTAAAACCTTTAGGTTTTAGGGGCGGAGCAGTGGCTCTGTGGCTAAGGATCTGTGCCTGTGACTGGAAGGTTGCCGGTTCAAATCCTGTGGCCGGCAGAGGAATCCTACCCTTAACTCAAGCTGCTCCAGGGGTGCCGTACAACGGCTGACCCTGCTCTCTGACCCAAGCTTCTCTCCCTGTCTGTGTGTCTCATGGAGAGCAAGCTGGGGTATGCGAAAAGACAAATTCCTAATGCAAGAAATTGTATAGGGCTAATAAAGTAACATTAAAACATTATTAGTAAAGTGATGCTGTTGATTGTTGTGTGAGTGTGAGTTTTGTGTGAGTTTTCTTCTGCTAAAGACTTGCCTTTACTGTGACCTGTTTCTGATGGATGGACTTGTGTTAGTTCTCTGTAATAATCTGTTCCGGTGAGCAGTTAGCTACAATAGTATACATTACATCTCTTGTGTTCATTGGGAGATTTCTGTTTGTAAGTCAGCTCAATAGTTGGGAACCGAAAGGACAGAAACACAATTTAAAAAAGATGAAATCACTTATTGCCTAAAAATGGAAAGATGCATGGCCTCATCTTTCACACTTAAGGCTGCCTTCAGACTTTGTTTGGCCTCTTGTTCCAGTTCTTATAATCTAACAAAGGAATATTACAGTCTGTCTTTTTCCCAGTGAAAGTGTTTTAATATGCATTGTTACTTTTATTTAATTAGAAAGTGCAATCACATACTGCATTAGCTTAAGAGGTATGCAAAAAGTCTCCTTGTAAAAGCTTCTGAAATGGTGCTCTTCATAAAAGGTAATTGAAAAATTAATTGATGAATTTTTATGGGATATTGATCAGTGATCTCAACCAGGTGCGTGATGTCAGTTTGCTCATGACAGAGAGAAACAAGCAATTCACCCAGATGTAATTAAAGATCCATAACTTGTCAAGACTGTCAAATTTCTGAGATACATAGCCAGTTCTATGAAGTGCTTCAATGCCCATTACACAGGTCAGTTTATAACTTCATGTACAGAAAAAGCCCTCCAACCCTTTTCTATTGATCTATTCAGATCGTCGATTTGAATTAGATCTTTAAAATTGGAATGGCTAGAACTGAATTAGATTTTAAGATTAACCTAAGAACATTTGATTGGATTTCCATGTTTATGTGTCAAACAGAGTTCATAAGTGTGATGCACTAGTTTCTGCTGTTAGTATTTTTGCACCATTAACTGCTTTATCTGACATTAGAACATAATGAATGTAGGTCTAAATATCTGTAGGTACAGAGACTAAATATCAGGGAAAAGCAGAACAGCCCTAGATAATTGTTAATAGCTTTTTGAAACTATTTTCTTAACTCAGAACAGCATTGTACTACAGTATGTTGCTCAAGAGGTCTCAATTAAAACTGACTAATTATACTCCCCAAACAACCTTTTTTATGAGTTATTGCAGGTCCTGCCTTGTGAAAATACTGTATGGTTCCACTTCAGTTGCCAAGACTTTCAAAGTGTGGCCTTTTGTAGCATGTTCTAGTAAACATTTTAATATATATAGAGAGAAGATAAACCTTCCAAACCACTCTTTGTTTCTTATAGCCTGCCTCAAAAATATCCAATTAAGCCTTTCCTTTGAACTCAATCCTGGGCAAGTGGCTTTGATTAAAGATGATTAAATGTGCAGAATGAGATATGAGGGCACAGCAGATGTTAGAAATATGGCCAATGAGAAAGTGTCATCTCTGTTGTGGTTCACTGACTTGATGGTAATTTGCATGGTCTGCTCCACATCTAAAGTTCATGAAGAACACTTCACCAGGTGTTTTTCAAGTTCTGCTTTTTCTGCAAGCTAGTGCACAGCTACTTGAAAAAATCAAGGCAGCTCTATGGTTTGGGCTGATCATCTGAATGTGAACTTTTAAAACTTTTTTAAAACCTAAACCTCCTTCCGAAGAATTTTGTTCATTGTCTTTGCATGGCAGAGAAGCTGAGAAATATTTATCAGGAAGGAAGACTCGGAGAACTCTTTTCTTGGGACTACCATGTAGTGTATTTTTGTCAAAAGGAGTGAATTTGTATTCTGTTTGCCCATTCAGTGTTGCTTCTGCTAAATGTCATCTGTTTTAACTTCCAAAGCTCAAAAGCTGGTGTGAATTGTATAGTAGCGGTACTCAGGCTGCTAATGTGTCATGTACTGGGAAGCTTGTTCACAATGAGCTCATAATTCAAAGTATTTTTTACTAAATTGTTTTACATTAGTACAATAAGATATTTGTCCCAAACCTGGGATAGTTTTGAGAATTGTTTTAGTAGAGATCCTTAATGAGTTCACCTGAAACCCATATTTTTTATTACATTTCAGTCCATGCTTTTTGATCGTTGTACAGCCTGCTTTCAATAAAGTAATAGAAATAAAAGGTAACATAGGAAGCCTATTATAATAAGTCCTTTATTAAGGAGACAAGGTGATCATCGTCCTAAAACAAAATGTTGGAACCACATCTTTTAGGTTGGAACCACATCAGTGTAAATTTCATTTAACATTGATGGAATAATGTTAATGTTTTTTATGCTGCCTTAATGTTAATGGAATAAGAAAGTGGAACCTTATAACAGGATAGCTCCATGAGGATATACACCCACAAGTCACTCGTGGTAAATTTAACAGATGTAGGTGAAGAGCCTTCATTTCTCTGAATGCCAACTGTTCTTCTTAAGGTGCAGCGTTTATTTGAACACCTGTGCAATCCGTCTGCCCCTTTTCTTTGCTTCACTTAGAGAGCAAAGTGGAGTTACAATGCCCATTTTAACCATAGCACTGAAAATAAAGCTTTTTTTTCTCATTCAGCTCAAGTTTCATCACGTAGCAGCTCTTTATCGTGGAGCTCTAGACATTTGTGATTTTACAGCATGAAAAATGGTTCCTTTGACAGTGCTGAAACATTACTTTATGGATTTAAAATGTATACCGCTGCACAAAGTGCTTTTTCTTAGCAGTTTACTTATGAAAGTTAAGCAGTAATTGACTTTAAAATAGATGGTTAAGAAATAGAAATAATAAATGGGAAAATTCTGATTAGTGCCTTTTCAGGCAGTCTGAATCTCTCATTAACAAAACCTTTGTTTCTAATTTCCAGTGCCCTCAAAGTTAATTTAAAAATATTGCTACTGTATTTGTCTAGTTGTTTTCGTAAATTTGAAGGGCTTTGCTTTTGTCTTTTTGATATGGCCATCTAATTCATCATCCAATCCTGTTATTCATTAACGACTCCCTTTTCAAAACCACTGTCCATTTTGTCATTTTTTGTGGTATTCTTTCAATTAAAAAATCTTTGCCTCTCTATTCTTGATTACTAAATGAAACCTAATTAGAAAAGCATATTGATCTTAATAAAGACAAACCTTTTTACCTCAGTAACATATGCCAAAAAGTAAGGACCTGCTCAAGCAAGAAAGACATAATGGTGCCAGAATCAATTTTATATGGAGTCTAGGAAATTATATACTACATTAAGTACATTCACAGAAGCAGGCTTTGTTCATACCGAGTGAAGTTAGTGTTGTGAGCTTTTAGTTTTATTTTACCCTTTTGTTTATTGAATTACTTTGCTAAGTGCAAGATTGCAACTACACTTTCTAAGCAGTGTAGTTGATTTATCGGCAGTCAGCCAGCGTTAACTTCCACTGGCATATCTTGTTTTTTTAAAAAACACTTTTTTACTGACTTTTGTGTCTTAGTGATTTTCTGAAGTAGTTTTTCGGTTTTACACTTGTATCCGGTTATCTGACGTGTTCTTGTACCTGATAGGGCTGTGACAGCAGAAAGAAAATAGGGGAAGATGATGTCTTATGTAAGACGTGACTAAACAATGGGTTGTCACACAGCCATTAAGCAAAATTCAAAACCAAAATGAGAACTTTGGAGATTTCACTATGATCTTGCTGGACACTGACCCGCAAACCCAAAAGACACCAAGTGCAGATACAGTAGGTTACAGAACAGCATGTTGTCAAATGTGCTTTTCTGTGAAAATTGTGGTTTTCAAGAGGGTTTCTGTTCTAACATTTCAGAGTCTCCGCCGGAGAGACCTGGCCGAAGACGGAGCATGCCAGGCAGCGCTTCGGACAAAACCCCAGCCATGGAGCCCACAGCTGCCACGCCCTTCCGCGTCACGGTGAGAGACCTGGCTGCCACTCACAATTTCTCCTGACTCCATTGCTCGGTCAAGTTCTACTAACGACGAACGAATGTTAAGGGGTAGAGTTCCTAATGTTTTGGCTGTAACTCCAGTGGCTGACAGTGTTGGTCGGAGATCAGCGCCCTCCACTTACGATGATCCAGGGAGAAAATGCTGCAGCTGTGAAGTTGGGATGGAGGAGGAGTCCTAGCAAGACGAGCGCAGTGCCAACTGCAGTCAGGGAGCTTTCACGGGCAGGGAGGCAGAAGTACAAGATTAGAATTTGACCTCCACCCCAATTTCTGTTCTGTTCAATAATACCATTCAGCTGGCTGATGTGTTTGTCCTAGCTACTTCAATGTGTAAGGCTTTGCATGTAGGGGTGTAACCCCGGCATCCTGGCCAAATTATGGTCTCCTAATAATCCCCATCTATGAATTGGCTTCATTACTCTGCTCTCCTCCCCACTAATAGACGGTGAGCGTTCTGGCGCACTATGGCTGCCGTCGCTTCATTCAGGTGGATGCTGCACATTGGTGGTGGTAGAGGGTAGTCCAAATTACAATGTAAGTGAGTGGTGTGTCCAGAAAAGCGCTATACAAGTGTAAGCAATTATTAATTATTATTATACTGTATTACTGGATCATTTTGAGGGATCTGAGTTGTCAAGAGCACAACAGCTGTCTCACACCTGGAATTGGACCATTCCAGTTGTGAGTCTAGAGCCTTGACTACAACTTCAATACTGCCCCATGGATGTAGGAGCAGTAGGATTTTTGCATGTACGTGTGCTTATGTAGGAAGGTTTGACTTTAAATTTAAAACGAAGGAGGTCAGATCTGCTCCCACAAGCCCTCTTCGGTACATGAGATGAGGAATGACTTGTGAATGCTGAACCGTTGACAAGTTCAAATAAAACAGCTTTAAGCTGTTGTCTTTTACTGTGATGGGATAAATTTGACGACATCTTTTGCCAACCAGGAATTATGGCAAGCAAGTGGTGAGATCTAAGAGTGGAATTTCGAATTTGAGTTGACCTGCCCTCACATAATATATCTTGAAAAAACAAAGACAAGCATGTCTGTTTTCCAGGATTTTCATATGCTGTTCATCCAGCTTGTGGACTTGTGCAGTCATGTATACACTGTGGCTGATCAAAGCATGTGTATAATTATGGTGCCAGGTTTTATCCAGAACTCAGAGCCCTCCGAGGATAGTTTGGCAATGAAATTGTACACATGGACATTCATTTATGTTCTCAGAAACTAAGGGAAGAGACATTACAAAGACAAATGGATGTTGTAACCTTTTTGTTTTGTAAGGAACTACTATAAGGGTTTTATTCAGCATATATTATTCATTTACAAAACTTAAACAGCTCATCAATTATTTAAATAATCCACCAAGTCCCATCTATTAGGCCCAGATAGCTAATTACAAGTGAACATCTCATTAATTACTGATGAAATCTAGAACATATGACTCAGTGGTTTAGGACATAAACTGATAGCAGTTTTCTTATTAGTTATCAGTGTTGTTTAAAAATTACTAACTCATTGCTTTTTTGTCACAAAGTCATTGATTAAACTGTTAGAGTGAATGTTTAGAGCATACTTAAAAATTAATTGCTACTTTAATAATGTTATCTGGACTTTTAATTGGGAGGAATATTTTTTGTAGTGAAGTCTTTTAATGTCAATCACAGCATTATGCTTCTTTATTGCACGTACAATACCTCACCAGTCTTATGAGTGAAGTGACAATAATCTGCCAGATATTACAGTGGAGCCTAAAATTGTCCTTTAGCTCTCAATCATATATTCAATCCTTGTGTGTAGGAGGTGAAGGTAACACTTGAGAACATGTTGGTACTTTACATTGCCTGCAATAAATGCAGATCGTAAAGATATTATTGTTGACTGTACCTCTGTACCTCTCCATTTCTATAAATGGCCAGTGGAAAGTGGAAAGTTCAGCTTTCCTATTTCATAATTATCACTTGGATATTAAACTTGATAAGTTTCTGTTCTGCAGACAAAACATGTTGATATTAATTGTTTATTGCATTACTGCAGTCATTTCAAATGTGAAAAAGTAATTCAATTAAAAAATGATCATTTTGTATGTACAATATATCAGGTTACAGTGCATTGCTCAGTCTCATCTAACATCTACTAATAAAAATAACTTTAATTTATAAAACAACTTTCCAAACCCAAGGATGCTGTACATTGTGAATAAATAAAAAAACAAGAGTACAATAAAAGTAAAAGACCCAAAAAATAAACAAGAGTATATAGGTTTTTACAGATGTAGGGCAGTCAGACATAGACCTTGGTAAAAAGGTACTGTAAGTTTTAAGTTTAGATTTGAAGACAGTTAAGACAGGTTGTCTGAGGAGGGTAATTCCACAACACTAGAGCAACTACAGAAAAGGCATGGTCACCAAAAGTCCATAATTTAGTCCCAGGTACAATGAGCAGAGGACCAGCCTCAACTACCTGGAGCCAAGAAAGGGAGTGTAAACATGGAGGAGGTCAAGGATGTGTGATGGAGCCAGATTGTTTAGAGCCTTGAAAGTCAGTAACTACAGTGGATCTTCATATTGTGATATTATAATTCTAATTAGATTTTATTAATTATATAGTAGAATTCTATTATGATAAGATTATATTTATGTTATAATTATATTATATGTGACATTATAGGCAACCAATGTAGAGACTTACAGTAAGTGTAGGAGTGATATACTGCCAGGGTCTCGTGTGAGTTTGTAGTCTAGCTGCACCACCCTTATTCTTAGATGACCCATCCATTTTCTAAGGGTTCACCTAGTACAGGGTCGGGGAGAGCCGGAGGCTGCCCTGGCAAGCAATGGGCGCAAGATAGAATGGACGAAGCATCAGTCCATCACAGGGCAGACCCAGACACACAGTCACACCAGGCAGTTAACCTACCAGCATGTCTTTAAACTCTGGTAGGAAGTCCACATGAAAATGGGAAGAAGATACGAATTCCAGGCAGATAGCACCCCAGGAATTGAACCCAGGCCCCCAGCACTGTGAAGCAGCTATATTAACCACTCTGTCACCTTCTTAGATGATCTGACATATGTAAATATGACAGCAAAGCAGATCAATGAATAAAAGAGATCGGTGAATAAGTAAACTGCTTATAAGTATACAAGTAGAACACAAAGTGGAAATTGTACTACTATACTGTACATAAGCATGGTTTTCTTTCCTTCCGTTTTTTAATATTACATACTGTACACATTTAAAATATCTATAAAAACAAAATGCCTTTGAATGTGTAAAAGGCAAATAAGAAAGGTGATCGTAAGACTCCGACCATATAGAAACTTAGTAATGAATTCTGCTTTATAGAGTCTGAACTTGTTTAAAGACCATTAATCTGCTAACAATAAACCACAATCTGGTTTGAATTATTAATGGAGGCTATCAAATCAAATCATGGTGACCTTGACAAGGCAACATCACTCTGATCAAAGAAAAAAAGCTTGTTACCATGGGTCTGTCTGATTAATGAGTTTTGTTTTGAAGTACCTCTCGAGCAGGCAAATTAGTGTTAAAGCAGAGGCCAATAAAACATTGGTTCTAAATAAATGTGTTAAATAAATGAGTAGTATCTGCAAACCTCACTCTACCCCATCAAGAATTGCAAGATCATATAAAATGGTAAAATGGGAAAAGGAGACAAGAAGGAAGTAAATGATGCAATTGTGCATCTGGAAGCTAGATTTCACTTGTGTTTTGATCTACACATTTTAGAATTGTGAAAAAATGATTTAAAATTATATCTGATGTTATGCAAACCAAGCTGACATTGAACATTCATATTTCTCTTCAAGGCATCTCAATGCCCTGGTAGTCAAAATAAGCTTAAGAATGAGTCTTTCCATCAACGGAGGGAGCTGTTCCGAAGTTAAAATTTCCGTAAAAGCATGCAGCTATTTGGCAAGCAGTAGTTGCATGATGTGCAAACAATGCTGTGACATTCCATAAAGCTGAACAAATGCCAGATACCCAAGCATTTGCAATGCAAATCTTAAAATGCGTTATTTACTCTGTGGCTGTTTGCATTCTCTGTATCCTCCTGTTTTAAATGGAAGAAATTGTGGGCTGGTTGCTGAATGTGAAATCACTACGGAACTGAATTAATGACTTGTGCTATTGCTCCTGACAAGGTAGAACTGTGCCATCCAAACTTGTCCAGAGCCAGATTATGACTAATAGATCTCTCTCTCATTCTGCAAAAAATAAATAAGGAAAATAAAGGAATGAAAAGCCCTAAATGTTTATCCCTCTGACTTTGTCAGAAGAATAGATGATTGAGAAACTGGATATGCATCCAACTGAGGGCAGGTAGCATGCAGAGGCTTAGCCTGAGCAAATCATTTCGGAATACGCCTTCGGCTCTATTCTGTTCATTCTGTTCCAGTCATTTGCTCGCCTAAATTCTACACTATACCTCACGTCTTTAAAAAAAAACTGCTTAGAGGCATTAGAAACACAACACAAATGAGCTCTGGAACCAACAGCATTTATTGTGTTTTGAATGATTCTGAGTATACAGTATATTGCTCCAGGACTTGGGAGTCAGTATGTGAGGTCACTAGCCTTCAACAATGGTCATGGTTGGATCTGGTCGGATCACATTAACCCATATGGCAAAGTCATTATGGAGCTGGCCAAATAAATTAGCCATCGCCAAACCTGTCATTGTTCCTAAATTACTGTATATCTATACTTTTGCCTCTTAACGATTTTTTCCTTCAAGACATGGTTCAGCAGGTATTATTTTAATTGTTATGAGTTTTTGGGGAGAGCTGCTCTCTGAATTACTTGTTCTTGGGCATATGACTCTGTCTTAGGTGGTTATCTTCTTTTTTATTATTTATAACAAATATTTTTATGTCCTATTGACAAATTAACCACACGGTTTTGCCTGCCTGAATATATCTGATACATACCTCA